GCCAGGAGCTTATAAAATTCTTCCTATTATCTGACTGTGAGTCTCAGGACTGTTGCTGATAACAAAACTCCAGCTTCTACAGACTCATTAGCATCATTCATGCACCGTCCTCAACACCAGTTGGCAGGGCAGCATCATCAGTAACAAGCTCCTGGAACACAGCCAGTCCCTCAGCAACCAAGCTCAAGTTGGCTGCATGCCAGCTCTATGGGGTGGCGGAACATGTCGGCATGAAGGAGAGCAGCAGGGTAACCAAACACTCTAAATCATGAGCTGAAGAGAGATGACCAGTGCTAAAGAAACCTACAGAGGTTAGCCAAAGAAGAATGTCAAGCCACAACTGCTAATATGTTGGTTGTTGCAAAGGACCTGTAATAAACATATCATACTTTATGGAACACTGCAATATGAAATGACACTTTTAAGGCAGAGGTATAGGAATCTGGGAGGACAGATAAGAGCCCTTGCTCATTTTCATTTCCCAGGTTCATGCTGGCGTGCCCATGCATCTTAATATATCACAAATATTTGCTCCTATCTAGGTATCATTATTTTATTCTTCAAAATAATACCTTCCTTCACTCACCCAGAAATAATAAAGTAATGACTTAATTGAATGCAAAGAATCTAGTCATACCACCTAAATCAGCTAGCTTATATATATTGCTGAAAAATAGGAACATTTGTTTGAAACCCATGAAGTAAACCAGAAAATTCCAATCATCTTTCCTGCATGGTCAGCCTTTGTGTGTACTTCCAGTGTGAATTACCAAACTAGTAATTTGTCAGTATGGAACTTAAATTATTAATATGTGCATGTAGTAGACTATATTTCATACAAATGCTCACCACTGCTGATAAAATTATTGCTGATTATCCAAGAACTTTGAAGTGCATGAGGATTTTAAAGTCATTAAAAGGGAAGCTTTTTTAGGCAGAGGCTGGATGACTATCTGTCAGGTAAAGTTTCCTGCACTGGATGAGGGAAAAGGTGGCAGGTAATAGACTTGGTGATCTTTCCAGACTCTTCTATTACAGAATATATGTATTACATGATATAGCACAGCCGCTGAATTATAGGTATAAAATTTTCAAGAAACATAATATGGTCTATGCACAACTATGTTAGGTACATAAATAGCCCAGAAATTAGTATACCAAATTTAATTTTTAATTTATCTCAAATGATTTACTGAGTTCCATATTACAAAATGTTTTAAAATTATACAGAACATAACTTATAGTCTCTACATGCTGACATTTTAAGATATCAGGACATACAAATCATATTATGCTAATGTGCAACAAATTTACCACTACCCACGTGAATGATGACATGGCAGTTATGTGTATAAAGTAAAATTATGAACAGGGTTCAAATTACTTTCGTCTGGATTTGAAATATATGGTGAACTTTCATGAGGCTCATTTATTGATAATAAGTGCTACCCTAAGCACTTTACATCTATTATCTATTTTACTTCACACAACAACCCTGGGATGGAGGTTCTGAGGCTTAGAGAGGTGCAGTCACTTGCTGAAGGTCAGTCAATTAATAAGCAGCAGAGCCAAGACTCGAACATGCCTTGGAGACTTTCTGACTCGAGCCTGTCACGACATGGCTTCCTTTTTGCTTCCTTGGTTTCTTACTTGTGAGCAATGCTGAAATTACTTTGGTTGCTGCAGTTTATGCTGTTGAACGTGGGAGAAGGTTTTCTGAAGGCTGCTTGGCTGAACAAGGAAAACTAATTTGAGTTTTAAAATGTGAATTGAACGAAGTTGGCACAGCTCTGAGAAATTAGTTATAAGCATACTGCTCCCATTGTAAATGGGTCCAATATTTCCAAAGGCTATCTATAACATGGAATGAGAGCTATAAAACTTTTCTCGCCCTTTGACTCATAATTTCAGTCTTTGGAATATACCCTCAAGGAAATAACACAAAAGAAAAAGGTAATTTCTTCAAGATGTTCATTCAGGGGCTATTTGTATTAATGAAAAACGGGGAAAAATCCAAATTCTCAGTAATAGGACAGTGACTAAAAACTAGGCTCGATACAAAAAGAAAAGAAAATTTCACGATCTCCCAAGATGACAAATGTAGAATATATTCATATGTGGATGCATATGTAAGAAATAACTGGGTTAAAAACTAGAATGCAAACTAGTACATATAAGGATAACCTTGTACGACCAAGTAAAAGAGTATGTGCATTAATAATAAGGCAAGAGATTTATGAACTTATAAAGAAATATATCCCCCTTTTAATTGGAGAAACCCCAACACAGGAGGAGCAGCTGGCATGTAGATTGCTTTTAATAAAAATCTGTCTTTAAATGAGGACCAACAGAGGCTATTTATTCAGATTGTGCTATAATAAGGAAGTCATCCTAGACCATATCTCGCATTTGGAAGACTTGAAAGGCAGTGCACAACTTTTATGGTGAAAAAAAAGAGAAGAGTTTAGGTATGTTCTGATTGGAGGCTGTTGGCATGGAGAAGCTGAAGGCAGGGTAACTAGAAACACAGCATTTTGGTAATGAGTTCAAGGAGTATATTTGGCTTTTCTCTCAGTGGCTCTGAGCTGAAAGTTTGCCGGGGTGGAGGGCATGACAGGAGCAAAAAAAAAATAGGAAAGGTGGCAGTCACTGACCAAATCCTGGCTATGCTGGACTGATTGCTGCAGAGACTCGATTTAGCCTTCTAAACTGCCTGCTGAACAGAATGTGGGTCTATCATTGCATGGACTGGTCATTGTCCATTTGTATATCCAATCTCTCATATAGAATACTAGTGTATTATAAAAGGTTGTAACTCAGAAACAGCCATATGGAAGAGATACTCAGGGCAAGCTATACGGGAGGGGGTGCAGAGTTTCTGATCCTTCTCTGGGCGAGCCACCCTTTCAGCACCACCATTCAGCAACCTGGGAGGTCCACTTAATAAGAATGTATAGACTTAAATTAGACAAAAGTAATTTTTAAACTGAGACTTGACTGAGATACATAGATGCTTCACATGTATTCACGTGCTATCAGGAAAAGCTAATCACTCACGAGAACTTAGTAAGTGCTGGTTCTTTTCCAAGTTCTTTCCCCGGAGTCTCTCATTTAATCTCCCTACAGCCTGTGAGATAAGTGTTATTATCACCCTTCTTCTAAGAGGAGAATATGTGGCCCAGAGAAGCTAGGTAACTTGCCCAAAGTTACTCAGGCCATGGCAGAGATGTAATTTCAACCCAGATAGACTCACCACATGGCCAGTGCAGCCATTATGCCTTGGTGTCTTCCCTTATTTGGAAGATGCTGTTCAAGATAGCTACAAAGTTTTGTGCAAATTTTCCCTTTAAATTATTCACAGCTCATGAAGCTCTATCTCACAGGTATAAGTCCACTGAGAAAAATTCAGAAAACAAATCTAACATAAATGGAACCAAAGATAAGAACTAAATATATAATGAGTTCCTTTTAAATGAAGGCAGTAGAGCAAAGACAGGACTACCATCTGTGTATAAACTAAACTGTCCAGGGGATGGCACGGGTATGTAGTGGTTATGTTCGGAAATACACAAAATCCAAATCCTTCTATCTAAATCTGTATAAGAGGCACATCATCTCAGGACTCTGCCATCTACGATACAAAATGCACAACATGAAATTTCTGTTTTATCTGTACATTCCATGGAAATATCTGTATTGTGAATGAGATGGCCTACATTTATATTCACTTCTAAACGTCCTCTCCTTCTCATCCAATTCTGCCTGATGAAGGCCTATTTTCACTTCAGAGGACAGATTAAGTATCGCCTCTTCCAAGAAGCCTCTTCAGATCCAAGTGAGAACAAACCTCTTTCTTATGTGCTCCCAGCCTGTCTGAGAACATCTGGCTGATGATTCTTGCCTCCTGCCTTTTGTAGCTCCTGGATGACATAACATGATTGGGATTTATCTTTGTTCCCTCTACGATCCCAACACAAGTGCATCATACCCCACGGCAGTTTACTGCATTATAAGAAATCTTTTGAGATCTTATCATGCTCCATGAATTTATAAACCTTTATGAAGATTTGGAGCATCTCAATTCCTCTATAAAAATGACCTCAATCAAGAACTCTCCTCACTTAAAAACCTACTTATTTCCTTACAATCATATTTCATGTTGACCTTCTGTGCCAGAACATTTGCATTAATTTAATGCATTCATAATTAGCATTGGCAAACAACAAACCCGCATCCCGAAAGTTAAATTATAAAGTGTTTTTTAATTAAATAGGAATATAAGAGTCATCAAACTTAAACAAACTAATTTGAGATTTGCTTTTAGCACAAATTTTATAAATATTCAACCCAATTTTATTTAATATAAAGGTAGGAGCTTCAAAGCCAGGACTTCAGTTGAGGACTCTCTCTTTTAATATAAGCTGGTAAATAAACTACTAGTGAAAGAACTTAAAATTTCAGAGTGAAAAGTACATTACTTCCACTAAGGTCAATTACTCTTCAGGGACAAAAGTAATGTTCTTTTTATTAGCAATTTGGAATAACAAATAACATTTATTTTTATTGAGATTTTTATATAAGAACTGAGAATATAATTCTTCGTTGTAGTTATAAAAATACAGGAGAAAGTGCTGAGTTTCTGAAACACAGCAATCTTCCTATATTTCCTATCTTCCCTTAGGCCATGTGTGGTGGTGTTGTGATCCTCAATTAAAAAGCTTACTTATAAGGAAGATAAAGACCAGGGAATAACAACAATACTACCGAGGCTTATAATGAAAAGCAAGCTACAAAAAAGATGAAGCAATTATTTTCGATTATACCACATTCTATGAAATATCGAAAAACTCCCATTTCATTTTGTATACCATAAGAAAAAGCTCTTTGATCCATGAATGGGCTAATCTACCAGCTATTCACATAATTCCTGGCTTTTAAAGGAGAAGAGCAATCAATGACTAAAAAGGAAAGTGCAAGTCACAAAAGGCATAAAATCTTACTTTTTCATCATCTTCGGTAAATGGAGCACCCTCAGGAATCTTATTTATCGCTTGGGCCACACCAATAATCTCACCATCGCTGCTTCGGATAGGCATGCACAATAATGATTTTGTCTTGTATCCAGTTAGTTTGTCAATTTCATCATTGAATCGTCGATCCTAAAAATAAGACAAAGAAAGCATTAACTGCATGTGCACTGTTGTCAGGGAGAAGAAGAGAGAGGCTTATTTCTGCATATGATACCTTATCACTGAGAACTTAATCCCATGAATTTTTAATTACAATAACAGACTTGACTTCATTTTTAATTCACCAAAGGAACATAAATCAAATAAGTCAACACCATAGTCATTTGCCATAGTAAATGAAGAGAGAGACTTTAACCCAACTACAACATATCAAAACTGGGAAAAGTGTTTTAAGGAAAGCCTATAGTATGTGATTTATGAAAATATGTTATTTCAAAAAGACATGATAAGAAATGTCATATAATAAACATACATGAGAAATATATACTAAACACTGTAAAAAAATGTTCAAAATAGAACTACTTTATTTCTGGTCAAAATGATCCTGTGAAAAAAGAATCTATGAGTACATAATGATATTTCAAAATCCTCCCAAAAAGGTGTGGGGTATGGGGAAATGAGACTTCTCTATAGAATGCCAGCTAAAATATATAAAATAAATGATAAAATTATATAATATATATTTTCTGACTGCCAAAATAATTATGTTTACAAGCATGGGTCATTAAACATGCTAATACTATTAGGTGAAAAGCAATTTAACTTAAACAGGATAGTCATACAATCTCAAAGCGCCACACCCAAAGATTCCTTGTAAAAGTTATCTTTGTAGTAAATAAATTTGGTGAACACTACCTCAAACAAGTAAACTTAGCATCACTGTTAAGAAGAAAAATTAACACTATGTGCCTCCTGATATAATAATGAGAAGGACACAACATCACCAAGAATACAGAGTGTTCTTGTCAAATGTGTAACATGAATCTAATCATTCAGGAAATGAAAATTAAGAAACACAGAGGTCATCAGTCATTCTTTCAGAAACCTAACCTTGGATACTTAAAAAATGTCAAGATCATGAGAGACCAAAAAAAAAAAAAAAAAAAGTTTTTTAATAAAAATAAAGTTAAACCATGGAAGTTATACCAGTTTAAAGAAGACTTAAGAGACCTGAAATTGAAATAAAATATGTGATCCTTTACTAGAAATTCTAAAAATTCCACAAAGGATAGTTTTGGAGGGACAATTGGAGAAAGTTAAGTCATATAATTGTATCATTATAAACTTTCTTAGTTATGATAATGGTGTTGTAATTATGTAGGAGAATGTCCTTATTCTTAGGATATACATGCAGAGTATTTAGGGAGTGAAATACCACAATACTTTCAACTTATTTTCAAGGAAGGGAGGAAGAAAGGAAGGAATGGATGGAAGGAGGGAGAGAGAGAAAGGAAGGAGGGATAAAAAGGAAGGTGGAAGGAAAAAAAAAAAAAAGATTCGCTCCTGAGAGGGTAACTGAGACTAAAAATGCTCCAAGGTAGATGATAAACTGGATCCAGGCTGATGACAAACTATGTCAAGCCAGGGGTTGGTGTGAGGCCTCTTCCTATGCCTTCTGTACACCCCTGTTAAAGAAGGCTTAAAAGACAAAAACAAAGCACTGCTGCCTATGCTAAGCTATGCTGTGGATTTTATCTAAGGGCTTAGGGAAACTGGCTGTGGATAAGGTGATAGCCTCAAGATCAAACAAACACTGCAACTGGCTGCCTGCTGGCCCTCTGATTAAGTCTGTGGTGTCTCCAATATCACAAAAACAGGAGTCTTTATTTACTATTAGTTTTTTGAGAGAGCCTCCCTCTGTTGCCCAGGGTGGAGTGCAGTGGCTCAATCTTGGTTCACAGACACCTCCGCCTCCCGGGTTCAAGCAATTCTCCCTCATATTTCTGGTGTAGGTGCCTGGGTAGATGGTGGGATGATTCACTGGGTAAGGAACAGATTCTGGAGAATATGAGTTTCCTTGTGGACATCTCAAGGTTTAGCTGACTGTGAGTCATCCATGTGGTCAAAAAGCAGTTTGATAGATTTAGATGTAGATGCAGACACAGACCATTTTTTTTAATTTCAGGAAAAAGACTTGGTATTGAAAGTAAAAATTGTCTAAATAAGGATGGCAATTTTGTCTAATAACTTTTAAGCACAGGATCTTCAGAAGGTCACCATGATCACCAGCAAAGCTTCACAGAAGACCTGGTAAGGAGGAAACAGGACTAGTAAGAAGGCAAAAACGTGCTTATATATTTCTAAAAATGGAAACTTGAATAGGAAACTAACAAATGCCTCAAGGATTATAATAAAATATCACATGGAGAATGGTGCCCAATTTTTATTCATCTCCCTTAGGACAAAAGAACAAGAAATGATCTACAACAGGAGAGAATTCTAATAAATTAAGGTAAAGTAAGGTTGTTAAAATCTGGAATGAGCTTGTTATGGCTTTAGTACACTCTTATTGCTTTGAGTATTTTTATGTCATAATATTTTTTCTACCTCAGATATTTTAAGTACAACTGATCTTGAAAAGTGCAGAAATCTTCTCTGTGCCTTTTATGCAGATCTGTCTTTTGTATATGACACGAATCTATGATTTTTAACCTTTAAAAAGACAAAGTCACAAGGCCAAAAGCAATTTTTACCTCTCAGCGAAGGAATTGATCTGTGCCCCCTTCATAGAGAACAGTAATTGGATACATCTCTGACCCAGGATCTTGCACTTGCAACCCCATCTGCAAGTTTCTGAGCTGAATATGGTGCCACAAAGCACACCCAGAAAATGGATTCCCACCTTCAAGACCTGCAAAGGCTGTAAAAAGCAACCTCTGTAGTCAGCTTTCATGTCTTTGAGAAAGAGTTATACTTACTGTGCTCAATAATCCCAGCTGGCCCCCAAAAGACATACTTTAGAGGTACACAAGAAGGCTTGAACAAAAAGAAATCCGTCTTATCTTTCTACTTTTTCAGTGAAACCACTCAAGTATCCCGATAAGGCAAGATTCAGAGTTGAGAATCTTATCCAGGTCCCAGACTCATGGCAAAGTTGGGTGGCCTAAGATCTCTTTTATTTCCTCTGTATTTAAGAATTCTGTCCCCAATACTTTGTAGTAAAATCTACCAGTACTCATAGTTAAGCCAAGAACTAGTCTTGACCACCATTTAATCTACAAGCGTGATTTTTAAAAATCAGAATCTTGAATCTACCTTAGGTCCTTCATAGCCAAGACAATATAGGAGAATATTTTTCTTCATACCCTGTTTTGAAAATAAGAATAAAAATGCAAATGTCTATAAGATCAGTAAATCAAGTTGTATTAAAATTAAGAACTTGGGTTTTTCATTAAGAATGAAAAGCAGGCCAGGCACGGTGGCTCACGCCTGTAATCCCAGCACTTTGGGAGGCCGAGGCGGGTGGATCACGAGGTCAAGAGATCGAGACCATCCTGGTCAACATGGTGAAACCCTGTCTCTACTAAAAATACAAAAAATTAGCTGGGCATGGTGGTGTGTGCCTGTAATCCCAGCTGCTCAGGAAGCTGAGGCAGGAGAATTGCCTGAACCCAGGAGGCGGAGGTTGCGGTGAGCAGAGATCATGCCATTGCACTCCAGCCTGGGTAACGAGCGAAACTCCGTCTCAAAAAAAAAAAGAATGAAAAGCAACAGCACACCAGCTCTACTAAGGGACAGACTGCCTCCTCAAGTGGGCCTCTGAGCCCTGTGCCTCCTGACTGGGAGAAATCTCCCAGTAGAGGTCAAAAGGCACCTCATATAGAAGAGCTTCAGGTGGCATCAGCCCAGAGCCCCTCTAGGATGAAGCTTCCAGAGAAAGGAGCAGGCAGCAATCTTTGCTGTTCTGCAGGCTCCACTGATGATACCCAGACAAACAGGATCTGGAGTGGACTTCCAGCAAACTGCAGCAGACCTGAAGAAGAGGGGCCTGACTGTTAGAAGAAAAACTAACAAACAGAAAGCAACAACATCAACATCAACATAAAGGACCCCACCACTAACCCACAAAAACCCCATCCAAAGATCATCAGCCTCAAAGATCTAAGGTAAGGCCGGGCGCGGTGGCTCAAGCCTGTAATCCCAGCACTTTGGGAGGCCGAGGCGGGTGGATCAAAAGGTCAAGAGATCGAGACCATCCTGGTCAACGTGGTGAAACCCCGCCTCTACTAAAAATACAAAACATTAGCTGGGCATGGTGGTGCGTGCCTGTAATCCCAGCTACTCAGGAGGCTGAGGCAGGAGAATTGCCTGAACCCAGGAGACAGAGGTTGCGGTGAGCCGAGGTCGCGCCATTGCACTCCAGCCTGGGTAACGAGTGAAACTCCGTCTCAAAAAAAAAAAAAAAAAAAAAAAAAAAAAAAAGATCTAAGGTAGATAAATTCACGAAGATGAGGAAAAACCAGTGCAAAAAACACTGAAAATTGCAAAAGCTGGAATGCCTCTTCTCTTCCAAATGATCACAAGTCCTCTCTGGCAAAGGCACAAAACTGGATGGGGAATGAATTCGATAAACTAACAGAAGCTTCAGAAAGTGGGTAATAACAAACTCTTCTGAGCTAAGGGAACATGTTTTAACCCAATGCAGGGAAGCTAAGAACACTGATAAAAAGTTACAAGAACTGCTAATAAGAATAACCAGTTTAGAGAGGAACATAAATGGCCTATTGGAGGTGAAAAACACAGAATGAGAACTTTGTGTAGCATACAAAAGTATCAATAGCTGAACTGATCAAGTGGAAGAAATGATGTCAGAGATGGAAGATCAACTTACTGAAATAAAGCGTGAAGACAAGATTAGAGAAAAAAGAATAAAAAGGAATGAACAAAGCCTTCAAGAAATATGGAACTATGTGAAAAGCCCAAACCTATTTTATTGGTGTACCTGAAAATGACGGAAAAAATGGAACCAAGTTGGAAAACACACTTCAGGATATTATCAGGAGAACTTCCCCAACCTAGCAAGACAGGCCAACATTCAAATTCAGTAAATACAGAGAACACCTCTAAGATACTCCTCGAGAAACACAACCTAAAGACACATAATCATCAGATTCTCCAAGGCTGAAATG